TTGCGCACTATTTTGTGACATCTTGGATGGCCTAGTAAAGGTATTGCCGTATTGTGCATTTTGGAACTAAATAGTTAAACTTTCTTCCTCACCCGGAAGATAAGGAAAAGCATCACACATTTATTTCCTCTGCAACCTCTTTTGTAGTAAGATAGAACTGAGCTGTGTTAGGGGAGGGGCTCCTTCGCTCTCTGTCTCTCTGTTGAACCTTGTATCCAAAAACTTGGAATTATATTTGAAATCCACACCCCACCTAAATTTAATCAGATGAAATCCCCTAGAACCATATTTTCCAAACTTCAAGTCAAACACCTGGCTTCTGAGATTATATTAAACTGTTTAATTTTATCAATGGAGATATTTTAAATTTTGCTTTTATCCTTTAGAAGGCTGTTTTGAATTTTGAGGCAGAAAATCCTGCATTTTTAATCAACGTTAAAAAATAAACAAATCCCTAAATATTAGGCTGTAGCAATTTTTAGGGGGGGATCTCACAACTGATTTCCCTATGAGACTCAACAGCACTCCTTCCTATTAAAATTTGTTCCTATTAAAATTTGAATTGCAGATCGTATATAGTTTAGTTCTCTTTAAAACACATAACATTTGAGAATATAGACATATGTTTATATGTATATACTGCCCTTTTATCAAAAGATTCTCAAGACAAATCATCATCATCATCATCATCATCACAGCATAAAAGTAAATAACAGCTAGGCACATATCTGACAAAATTTAAAATTCAGATTCTGAAGTCTTCTGATTTCCCAATACCTACTTGCAGGCATGAAATCTAAGAATCTGAATGAGAAAGTGTATATGTTTCTTGGTGGTTTTTTTAAGCAAACCAATAAATAAAATCTGAACATAAACTTTGTTTGTTTTAGCAGTTCCAGGAACAGGAGAATCAAATAACGGAGAATTAATTCTCATCAGCCTCTGTTTTTATAGTTTCTATCCTGAACACAAGCCTATGCCATTGGCTGACAGTCAACAGGGCACCTTCTCACGGATTGGTCCTTAGTACTGACAGTGATGGATGGCCTTCTCAAGGATTGGCTAGCATCACAGCTGGGCTGCTCCTGCTGAAGGAGGACTTTATGATTAATTAAGCAGTTCAGTCCCTTGAGGAAACCAAGAGCCTCATCAGTGGGTTCCCCTTCCTCCCTCTCCCCAGTTTCAAATGCTTGTTCACAAGACGAGGAAACATAAATGGTATTATATCAGTGGACTGAGTTCTCCAAAGAATACGGGGGGGGGGGTGCCTTCTTGCCCCCTTCTTGTCTCCTATATCTGTGCAAAGCAAATTAGCCTTCACCAGTTCTCATCCCCAGTAATCTCTTGCTATGGCTTTCCCCCTACCACTTAAAATCTCTTTTGTTTCTCAGCCATTGTTGAAATGCACACTCCAGTCCAGAAAACCCATAAAACTTCTGCAGAAACGTCAGATCTGCTATTCTAGGTGTGCACAAAACGAGAGATAAGGTGGGGGGGGGTAACACTTCCCTTTTTATTTCCATGTATTTTCCACAGTCCACATGAGAGTGAAGGTCAGTTTAACACTGTAAGAAGTACTGATAACTGGGCCTGCTCAGAACTTTTAACCCTAATTACCAAGGTGTAGACATCAGTTGCATTGTGCACTTTGAGCACTTCAACATCTACTGTATATAAAATATGGTGATCGTGATGATTGCTGATAAAGACGAGGTTTGTTTGTTTTTAGAGCATCAATGAAATCTTGAAAGGTGCTACTTCGTGCTGTGTACATTCACTCCCCTTCTGCCTCCGGTAAAGAGGTTTGGCAGGTTTTTGTATTTCAAAAACCTAAACCTGATTGATCAAAGGGAACAGTAAGTGAAATGTGTCTCAAATCACTTTCAACTTCCTTTAAAACTATTATTTAACTTCAGCTTAAGATAATTCCTTTAACTTCCAATGGTGTGAGAAAGACATTTCTTCGTTCCCATTGCCACCTCTGATCAAACAGGTTCAGCACATTTTTGAAACAATATGAAAACCTTCTGAGCAGATGGAAAAGTGAGATGAGAGTTGCTAGCTTTTTTGGGTCTGCAGGCTCGACACCTCCCCACACAACTAAACACGCAAAGCAACCTATTACCGTAATTTTTGCTCTATAAGACTCACTTTTTCCCTCCTAAAAAGTAAGGGGAAATGTGTGTGCATCTTATGGAGCGAATGCAGGCTGCACAGCTATCCCAGAAGCCAAGACAGCAAGAGGGATTGCTACTTTCACTGCGTAGCGATCCCTCTTGCTGTTCTGGCTTCTGAGATTCAGAATATTTTTTTTCTTGTTTTCCTCCTCCAAAAACTAGGTGCGTCTTGTGGTCTGGTGCGTCTTATAGAACGAAAAATACGGTATAGTGCTTCCAATAGAATGCTTCTTTCAGACCTAATTACAGCAGAGCAAGGGGACTCAGCAGTCACATGTGCCAAATCTGCAACCTACAAAACGCAAACAACTTCCAGTTGCATCAAAAGAGCTGTGCTCTGCTTTCAGCTGGATTATGCATATAGGGCTGCCCCATCCCCCCCTGACCCCCAGCTGTGTTCCTAGCCTTTCCCTTAACAGTAGACTGTCATACAGAAATTACACAAGGGGAGTTTTGACTGGCATGGGAGGTAAGAGGTGGGATATAGGTCTCCCTGCTAAATTTTAGGAGGAGGGCCGGGCCAGGGGCAAATTGACAGCCACATCTACAGCCATTTAATAGCACCTTCTTCTTCCATTTAAATCCACATATTCCAGAGCTGAGTCCTGGTTTAAATTCCAAGTTTAGTGTTTCCCCAATGGGTGGGCTGGGGGATAAAATGCAGCCGCAACTCCAGGTGTTTGATGGTTTTCACCAGGAGAGGGCGCTCGAAGACAGCTGCTTTTGGACTGAGCTTCCCTACCCCCAAAACACTCACAAAACACTCACAATGAAAAGGAGCTTCTCTCCCAATATTCTCTTTGGAACTTTAGTATCTGCAAAGGGGGTGGGGGATTTGGATTCAGATCATGACAGGAGCAAAGGGTTAAATCCACCACATTTCCAGTGTGGGACGGGGCTCTTTGTGGTTGCTATTTACTTTAAACAAAAAAGGCGGGGAAGCACTTTGCACAATTATAAAACATCTAGTTGAACATCTGCTGGAAAGTTCTCCTGTGCAATTCTGATTGAAATGAATGGGACCTGTGAAAGAGCCCAGTAACAGGCCCTGGCAGCCAAGGATGGTGATTGTGGGGGATTTGATTCTGTTTGCAGTTTAATGATAAGCTATCCAATTCACACTTCTTGAAACAATACACAGACCAAAACACAATTCTCCTTTGAAACTCAGACTTCTGCAGATGTTGCAATGGGGTTCTCCAGCCAAGCAATGTGTACAAAATCCACATTTTAGAAGACAGTGAGCTTACAAATACATATACTCCTGAAAGCAGCATACAATTATGCATTATATTAGGGATAACTGCTTGCAAAACTCTGTGTATTGGCCCAAACTGCATACAAACATGTTTACATTAGGAGAAATTTGCACTAAAATGCTGATGAATTTTTCACGAGGATTTTTTTAAAAAGTGCAGATTGCTGAGACAATGTAGAGAACTGAAGATTTGCGCAATGAGAAACGGAGAGAACCCAAACTGACAGATGTGCCCATACCTACTGCTAGCTTTGTCAAAACAAAAGGTGGAGAAAAAGGGATTCTCAAGAACAACAATTTTAAAAAAATTTAATCATCCTGCAGCAGGATGATTAATAAGAATGGGTCTTATTATAAACACATTTGGTATTGCAGTAGGATGAACTGGCCAGTTGGTGGTGGTAGGTTTGGTCTTGCGCTTGTGCTTTTAACAGCAACTTGATCTCCAGAAACCAGCCAGTGAACATTTTCAATGAACAAGATAACAGTGTCATGCAATGGCAGTTGCTAAAGAGACCAGAGAAGGGGCTGCCTAAAATAAGTTAGCAACTGTGTTGTACAGTAATACCAAATATATATATAGACATTCCCAATACCCACACAGGTTCAAATAGCAAAAATGTCATCTAGTAAACTATATGATTGTAGGGGGTTGTTGTTGTGGCTGTTGTTTTTAAAAATTACATTTTGTTAAAAACTGGGGCAAGTTAAGAATGGTGGAGGATTTCAGCAGGTGCCACTGTTGAAATGCCAAGTTCTGATTGCTCAGGCAAACTACAGTTCCTTTTCTGCAATGACTCAGCTTAGAAGCTCTTATGCAAAGAAACCCCAACCAATTGTGTGTCAATGATAGGGAAACCTATCTGATGCTGTCATCTAATCTTGGTTCTCCCATAGTTCTTCTGTCTCTTTTTCAAAAAGCATAATATCTCATTTTTAATATAATCATGTTTTAAAAATGTAACAGTAGTAGTCTTTCCCAGACATTTCCAGAACTGCAACAGCAAAATTAGCATCTGGGGTGGGTGGGGGTTTAAAAATCAGCAAAATGTCTGGGTTTTTGCAAACAGAACCAGGAAGTGTGTGCCCCCCAAAAGCTCCACAACTTTTTTTGTCTGGATTTTTACTTCTTTAAATATGGCAACCCTAAACAGTAGCACAATCTCTGCAAGTGTAGTTTGCCTTAGCACTAGTCTTCAGCCGTTTTGATGAGGTTGATTTGCTCAGTGATGCATTAGGTGGGTGAGGACACTCACAGCTATTTCAGGACATGTCCACTGTCATTTTATCGGCATGGTTTTGTTTTTAGAGTGCCTTGCAGCAACCCAGCCTTGACCACACAAACAACATGGGAAGGCTTTTGGCTTCATACCCTAAAGGGTCTTCTGAAAATGGCTAGTCAAACACAGTAGAAACATGATTGTGGACAAGATACACCTTTTGTCAGATCCAGTAGGGCTTTTCTTATGTTTTCAAGTTTGTAGATAGAAATGAAATAGTTACACTTTCTGCCTGTTCGCTCACATGAGATTCCCAATGTATATGCTAATAAGTCCATTACTTACTGGAGGTCTTGTGCTGTCTTGGGACCCACAGTCCTGACTGGCTACTGATTTGGATGGCAGGTGCCGTCAGATGCTCTTTGAACAGAAAAGTGGTATACAGCAAATAAATAGTAAATTTGCAGAACTAGGCCAGTAGTGTAACATTGGGTGGGGGGAGAGACTTAACCTGGGTGAAAAATGGTTATCAAGAATAATGTAAGATACAACATTCGGAAGAAATTTCTGGTGGTAAGAGCTGTTTGACGGTGGAACAAACTACCTCAGAAGGTGGCGGACTCTCCTTCATTGGAAGTTTTTAAACAGAGGTTAAATGGCCATCTGTCAGAGATTCTTTAGCTGTGACTCCTGCACTGTAGGAGATTGTATTAGATGACCCTTAGGATCCAATTCTGATTCTACAGACAATTTTAAAATTAGCGGAGTGCTTTCTTTTTCATCTGTAAGGATTCAACCTTTTTTTAAAAAAAAAAACATCAGTTTGCTCAGGGGTTTATTAAGAGCAGCAGCAAGTTGGGTGGATTGACTTGCTTCAGGTTTTCACTGCCTTGGTTCCCATGACCTAATATAGTAGAGAACATTCAACTACTGAATTATGATGGTAAGAGAAGAGGAAAAATGGAAGGCTTGTGAGTTTGGCCAACTGTTGCTGCTTGGACAGTACAGGTGTCCCCGCACGAGACTAGAATGCCTGTACATGCAAAAGCTGTACAAATATTAAAAAACAATAAATGGTAAATTGTAGATCTTTGAGGCATGCTAGGTCAACTCATCTTGCAGCAACCAATTTTTCTGCACCACTGTATATTTCTAGGGCTGTACTGGGTCTTGTACCCCTCTAGAAACTAGAGTGAAAAAATATGCTTAACTAACAGAGTATGGGAAAAAGCTTCTGTCATTGCTATCTGGAAGTTCCTTATGTGGGATGCACAAAGGCCTTCTCTAAGCAGGGACTTCAAATGAGGCATCTGTCAGCAATGCTTAAGAGACTTCCCATATAAAAAGCATGCGATGAACAAAGCCAGTAGAGGAGCAGGGGCCAGAAACCCGAGGGCAATCTCTGCATTGCTGAACCTTTCTGCTGCCAGCACTGTAACCCAATATGTGCGTCTCATCCTTGCATCTTATCCTGTCGTGCCCTGAGAGCAAGTCCCTCACTCTTTCCTCGACCTCCGTCTGACAAGCTGACAAAGACAGAGCTACAGTCAATGGACTCTGGAAAAGGCTGTACAAAAGGCCCATCAGGTCTGTGGGAGACCAAAGGGGGCCTTGGTGCGGCTACTCCTTCTGTCATGGATGGGGACATCATGTTGACAGGCCCCTTAAAACATAATATAGCAGCTTCCTGTGCCCGGCCTGGCTTCATTCTATATGCCACCTTGGGGTAACAGAATGTGTTCTCAGAGAAGGGTATCTTAGGACCTGAGAATAACAATGAAGGGAAAGCCTCTTACTGTATTCAGGAATCTGATTAATTTCATACCCTCAAACATTTTTCCAATGAAAATAGGGACATCCTATTCAATTATTAGGGACGCGGGTGGCGCTGTGGGTAAAAGCCTCAGTGCCTAGGACTTGCCGATCGAAAGGTTGGCGGTTCGAATCCCCGCAGCGGGGTGCGCTCCCGTCGCTCGGTCCCAGCGCCTGCCAACCTAGCAGTTCGAAAGCACCCCCGGGTGCAAGTAGATAAATAGGGACCGCTTACTAGCGGGAAGGTAAACGGCGTTCCGTGTGCTGCGCTGGCTCGCCAGATGCAGCTTGTCACGCTGGCCACGTGACCCGGAAGTGTCTGCGGACAGCGCTGGTTCCCGGCCTATAGAGTGAGATGAGCGCACAACCCTAGAGTCTGGCAAGACTGGCCCGTACGGGCAGGGGTACCTTTACCTTTACCTTATTCAATTATTCTTATTAGTGCTATTTTTCGAGAAAAATAGGTGTCAGAACTCACCATGAATGCCTCCCTTGTTCTATTATAATGGCAATGGCAGCCACCTGAGAGATGCCGGAACAGAGTTCTGGTGAGTTCCAGCTGAAAAAAAGCAATTATTATTATTATTATTATTATTATTATTATTATTATTATTATTATTATTATTACCTATACCCCACCCACCTGACTGGGTTACCCCAGCCACTCTGGGCAACTTCCAACATATATAAAAACATAAGAAAGCATTAAACATTAAACAACTTCCCTATAAAGGGCTGCCTTCAGATGTCTTCTAAAGGTTGTTTAGTTACTTGTCTCCTTGGCTCAAGGGTTGCATAACTCCAGCATTTCTCCAATGAAAATAGGTATGTCCTAAGAAAAGGCGGGACATTACGGGATCAAATCAGAAACTGGGACAGCTTCTGTAAATCCGGGACTATCCCTGGAAAATAGGAATACATGGAGGGTCTGAAATTTCCAGCAGCAGTTAATAAGCAACACCAGGGCGGAGGATGGTTCTTCCAAGTTGTCTAGAACTCAGGCATCGCTTGTAGTAATTCTGCAGTGTTTGTCTCCATTTATCTGAGGCAGGCCGTATCAGAGGTCCAGAGCGGACTAGGCCACTTTAGAGCCCCTAGCCATGATAAAAAAGAAAATATGGCTATGTACAAAAACAAAACAAGGCACCAGAAAAAGAGCCAGCTGTTTGTTTACATAAGCAGCTGATCTGTGAGGATGCGTTTATCATGGTCTAATCTTGTGCCTTCAGAATCAATATATTTTTATGAAGAAGAAGAAGAAGAAGAAGAAGAAGAAGAAGAAGAGTTTGGATTTGATATCCCGCCTTTCACTCCCTTTAAGGAGTCTCAAAGCAGCTAACATTCTCCTTTCCCTTCCTCCCCCACAACAAACACTCTGTGAGGTGAGTGAGGCTGAGAGACTTCAAGGAAGTGTGACTGGCCCAAGGTCACCCAGCAGCTGCAAGTGGAGGAGCGGAGACGCGAACCCGGTTCCCCAGATTAGCAGACTACCGCTCTTAACCACTACACCACACATTAATGAACATTTTGGACACTTTAATATGATAAAATCTCTATCAGCCCCCCCCCAAAAGAGAAAGAATTATGTCTGCTACCAAACCACATCTCTTATTTGCTTAAATTTGCAGCTCTAAGCTGAGAGTGTGTGCTATATTTTGGTCTGATATGCATAGAAACAGTTCATACCCTCCAACATTTCTCTGACGAAAATAAAAAGGTAAAGGTAAAGGTACCCCCTGCCCGTACGGGCCAGTCTTGACAGACTCTAGGGTTGTGCGCCCATCTCACTCAAGAGGCCGGGGGCCAGCGCTGTCCAGAGACACTTCCGGGTCACGTGGCCAGCGTGACATTGCTGCTCTGGCAAGCCAGAGCCGCACACGGAAACGCTGTTTACCTTCCCACTAGTAAGCGGTCCCTATTTATCTACTTGCACCCAGGAGTGCTTTCGAACTGCTAGGTTGGCAGGCACCTGTGAACCGAGCAGTCGGGAGCGCACCCTGCCGCGGGGGATTCGAACCGCCGACCTTTCGATCGCAAGCCCTAGGCCGCTGAGGCTTTTACCCACCGCGCCACCCGCGTGCCCTTCTGACGAAAATAGAGGCACCCTAAAGAAAAGCAGGACATTCTGGATCAAATCAGAAACTGGGATGGCTTCTGTAAATCTGGGACTGTTCCTGGAAAATAGGAACACTTGGAGGGTCTGACAGTTGCAAAACTTATTAAATGCCCAAAGTGCCTATATCTGTGAGCCCGTTTGAGCTTGAGGTCCAGGCCAAATGGCCCTCCAGTCCTGGCCTCCCCAAGTGGCCCTGAGTTGAGGGCCAAATTACATTTATGCTGAACCTCCATGGTAGGGGGTGGCCATGTACCCTATTTAACACAGCACAGTCCTCTATTTCAAGGGATATCAGAGAACTCTTCCCCATTTCCATGAGTCCTCTGGTTGAAGGTCTATCTGATCTAAGAACTAGGAATGGAGAGCAAGGGCCTCAAAGTTGCCAATCAATAGAGTATAATTATAGCAATTATTTCTAAATTTGCATCAATACATGTGAATTGTATATGTGAATAAGTGCTGCTTTTGCCCTATTTCTTTTAGGGAGGGGAGGGGAGTGTTGATGCATTAAGTGGCCACCCCTAAAGGCCATACCAACAGTAAACTGAGCACTGGACATTCTATGAAGTATTGATTTTAAAGCTAGGAAACAAAACCTCTGTGTAAAGAGGTAGTTTACCTTTGTATACCAGATGCTAAGGGCAAACAACATGAACAGACCATCATTTTTCTACCATGGCTATGAGCAACCAGAGGCACCCAGCTATCTTGTGTTGGAAACAGAAGGCAGAACTAGAGATCCTGACAGACCTAGCAGAACAATTTTCATGTACTTTGATTCTGTTGGATCAAAACTGGACGAAACGAGAAGTTAAAGCGGAGCTAAATGCATGGGCTTTATCTTCTACAGTTTGCTTCCTGCCCCTTTCCCCTGCAAATGGAAACTCAAGAGAGGCCCTTAGCAATGTCTCCTAATGAATGCTTGCTCTACGTATATGCATTCTGATCATGGGGGCATGAGGGAGGCAGAGATGTTGGTGTGCGGCTCTCCGGAGGGGATGAACAGGGGGGATTTGATTATAGCCCAGACCGTATGGCGAGGGCTGCTGAGATGGAGATAATCACTGAGCCAGCGAGACGAGGCACAACGCTGACAACAGGCGGTCTCAGTAGTCGCTATGGCAACCGAGGCCTACTGGGCCACTCCAGCCTCAGCCTGGCTCTGTTTCTGCAGCCTAACATCTGCTTTCTCAAGGGCTGCTGGGAGTTGGCGGGGGTGGCAGTGAGGGGAAAAACGGGCAAGCATTTCACTTTCGGAAGGGGGGGGGAGAGGAAATCCAGAGGAGAAACAAATTAGGACAAGCATCCAATAAAAGGAAGGGAAATGTATTTATTAACACTAGGGAGAGGTTGTTCCACCAGCTGCTTTGATTGATGGGCCGGACTCCATGTTGTCAGATTCCCCCTCCCCCCACTTTTTGTTTTTTGTCTGGTGGGGGGTTGGGGTTGGGGGGGGGAGAGAGGAAAGAGAAAGCGTAGCAAAGCACTGGGTCTGTTTATGCAAGCAGAACGCTTCTTCCCACCCCACCCCTCCACATTTCCTCGAGCTGCCACACTTGATTGATAGTTTAGACAACAATTGGACGGCGCAAGAGACTGGTTGCCTTATCCGGAGCATCTTCAGCCAGCCCTCAACGCACTCAGACAGGAGAGAGTAAAAGAAATTATTATGGAGCACGGCGGCTGAGCAGGGAGGAGAAGCAATTAAAGAACAATTATTGTGCAGTGGTGCCGTGTCTACCTGCTGCTTACCTGAGCAGCTTTGATGGGAAGGGAGGGAGTTGTGGGGAAAACACACTTGCTGTCCCCGGAAGAGTCAGTCTCTGGTCTTTGCTTGTGAGAGATCAGGGTCAAGGTGACAGAGTGGGGGAAACTATACCACCACCCCTCTTGATATATAGAGTAATTTGGAATATGCTGTCCCATCCCTCCCACCCCACAGCCATTAAAGGTATTTAACAAACAATGCTTCCACACAGATGTACTGGATAACTAAGAATATCATCTTTCTTTTTTAAAAAATAAAGTTTCTAGCCCTCAGTGCCGTGTAGATATGTAATTTCAGCAAGGCTCAAATTGATTCCCCCCCCCCCCGGCACAGGGAAAAGCAACTTCAGACATGGGGAGAAGGAGTGGTGAAAATAGGTGCTTAACTCTTTTCTACCCACCATGTATTTTCTCCAAATTGACTCCCTGCCACTTCCCCTCTGCAGGATTCCAAAATGCATATTTTGAGAGGCCTTGTGTGAAATCTGTACAGGGGACGGCTGGTCTGAAATCTCTGGGAAAAAAGGATTGATGGTTACTGGAGTCTAATTAAGGGCAAGAGTTCAGGCTCTGAATTTATATTCATAGTCACAGCATAACCCCGGAATATGAGGAAGAATAATCATGATAAGGGTGCGCCCTGTTCTCATAGTGGTCAGCCACATGCCAAGGGAAAGCCTGCAAGCAGGACATAAGCACAATAGTATTCTCCTCAAATACTATTGGTAAATGTATGCAGCTATCAAGACTAGCAGCCGCTGATTATTTAACTATGTGCTATACCAGGGATGGGGGCATTTTTGGTCAAGTGGGCCAGATCTTTATCTCCTTCATCAGATGATTAACAGGACAGTGGTTCTACTCATCTGTAAAAGTTGGCCTGCATGGAGGGGAGGAGAGAGAGAGAGAGAGAGAGAGAGAGAGAGAGAGAGAGAGAGAGAGAGACCAAGCAGGATTGAACTCCTCGTTCATCAGCTGATGTCTGGGAAGTTCAGTCCTGCTTTCCTCAGAGTCTGGGTGCACAAGAGAGCTCCCTGCAGGGAACTTTGCACACCCAAACCAAGGAGGATTGAACTCCCCACAAGTTAAATCCTGCTTTCTGCCGCACTTCTATTGGCCCCACACCTGATGTTACAGATGATGTTGGATGTGAGGCAGGTGGGCATGATTTGGAGAAAATGGCCTGGCAGGAAGTTCCACACCCCTGTGTGACATGAAGAAGTACTTACTTTTCTCTCTGCTGAATTTTTCATTTTTCAGCTTCAGTGGATAACCCTGGGTTCTAGTATTATGAGACAGAGAGAGAGAGAGAGAGAGAGAAGTATCTCTTGGATGACTTCCCAGTCACTCTAAACATGTGACATGTCGTGGGTTTGGGATGTAAAAATGGTGTCAGGGAGGAATTTTGCCAAAAAGCAGTGGAACCAGCTCCAAAGGCTTAAAATTACTCGGGGGGGGGGAGGTTTGCGAGTGTCATGAATTTTACTTTTTTAAATATGACAACTCTATGTTTCTTCCTCTTTACACTAGAAGTGTAACTTTTTACACTAGAAGAGAGTGATGCCCAAAGTATGAATCTTGTGATTTTTATAGATGCTTAAGGAAATAACTATAGGCCTCACCACTCAGAGCTGCCAGTTCCCC